TCTGATTATTCGAGTGACTTTTTTAACTCGATTATTTTTGGATGGAGGATTTCATCATGAGCTGACATCAGTTAGAGAACCACTGGAAAACCTAGGAGTACTGGACAGCCAGCTGTTTCGTCCTAGTTTGGCACTCTTCATCATTTTACAACCACCGGGATTCGAACCCAGGACCTTCTGGTTACAAGGCGAGCTCGTAGACCATTACATCGGGTCCCAGTGGCTCAATGGTCTACGAGCCCGCCTTGTAACCAAAAGGTCCTATGTTCGAACCCCGGTGAGTGCATACTGATGAAGAGTTCCAAACTAGGACGAAACAGCTGGCTGTCCAGTACTCCTAGGTTTTTCAGTGGTTCTCTAACTGATGTCAGCTCATGATGAAATCCTCCATCCAATCAAACTAAATCTCTACAAAACCAATACTCAATAAATTTTTCCCTACCTAATGTTTGAATATATTTTCAAATCACATCAAGTTATTTTTTATTCACCCTAATTGAATTCCAGGGTTCGATCCCCAGCCGACGCACTCCTTTCCTCCGCTAAGCCAGAAATAATGCTGGTGAAGAGGAAAGGTTGGACATGAGGCTAGCGACCTCATCCTGTAAAACAAACACTGCTACAGAAACTTCAAGCCACTAGCTTGAATCCCTATGTTCCCTGGGGAACGTGAAGGAAAAAAAACATTGAATTCCATCATCTACGAGTTTTGGTTACTTAAGATTTGACTTGTTAATGGAATATTGTATTTAGACTATTATGCTAGTGGTATAATCCTTTTTATAGATGAAAACGTTGACAAAATAGATAATCTTGGGAACACCATGAACAGAAATCTTAGTGTGGTTGGGATGAAATTTATCCCTGTCAATTGTAAGATGATGATGATGATATCTCAGGACTAGCTTGCACTGACTCCCTCTCTCTCTCTCTCTGTTTTCAAGGCTAAGGAGCAAGGTGACTGGGCATAATGACCACTTTACTTATTTGGGAAGATGCATCAGATCTAATAAATTGATCGCTGATTAAATCTCAGCTAGGCTCATTTGGAATTGGCTAACTTGTGTCATTTTTCGCAGTACGTGTGATCAGCAAGCATCCTAACCGATAAGCCACCGTCCTCCTTTATGGCTGTGAGACCTGGCCATTGAGAGTGGAAGACATGAAAAGACTAGCTGTCTTCGATCATAGGTGCCTGCGTTCTATCTCCCGTGTGAAGTGGTATAATAAGGTGAGCAATATTGAGGTTAGGCGCCGAGTGCTAGGTAAGGCGGGGAAATCAGTCGACGAGACTGTGAAATTACATCGACTGAGATGGTTAGGACGTGTGTTACTCACGCCTAGCCTAGTTATCACCTTCCTCGACCGACAATGTTAGCTGATATAGGGTCAGGCTAAAAAATAGCTAGCACATGGCGGTCAAACGGAAACATGTCACCAGTCAATGAAATCCACAACAGTTAGTTTAAGCCATGCACGAAGGTGTAGACTTCCTGACCAGTTAGGGTCCTCGGGACGGTAAAAACCAATGGTTGGAAACAATTGGTGACATGGCTCAAAATCGTTCTCAGTGGCTAGCGCAGATGCATCCACTCCTTGTGACTTATGATTTCCAATTAAACTGTTTTGTTCTCCGTTATTACTATTCCTTTGTCTCACACCTCTGTTTACTGTCTATATTATGCATTTCTTCTACTTTCTTCTCTTGCTTTGTGTGCTACATGGAGTGTGGCGACTTGAACTGCCGCACATATGTGCAAAGTTCTATGTCGAAAACCCACCGACCGAGTACGTGTGATCTCCTGACAATATTATTCTGAGTAAGTGAGAAGACGGAGGTGATGAAGACAACCTACTGAACAACAGCAACAACAACCAGCACCAATCACCATCAATGGGAGAGATTTAACAGAGATCGCCTCCTTCACTTATCTAGGAAGCATCGTCTCAACTACATGTGGAACGGACGAAGATGTCAAAGTCAGAATCGGAAGGGCAAGATACGCCTTCATCAACCAACCTGAAACCAGTTTGAAAATCTCCTGCACTCAGCAGCCAGCATAAAGAATAAGATTTGGATTCTATTCTATAAGGGTCAGAAACTTGCACTGTGTGTCACGAAAAGGAGGATTCCCAACAGGCTACTGCCTTCGCTCCATACTGAAGATCAAATGGCCGGCCAGAAAGAATAAGCAACAAGAAACTCTGCATGGGAACAAACCAACCAAGAGCCGATCGCTCAACAAATATGTAGGAGAAAGTGAAGATGGATCAAGCATACATTGAGGAGGCCGGCGAATGACATCGCGCGCCAGGCCAGTACTCGAGTGGGATCCAAATGGGAAACGGCGAGTGGGTCGTCAGTGCGAGGGTGACTTGGAGGAGATCGTGTGAGGAGGGGATGAGACTGTTTGGTCAATCGCGGACCCAGCTGAAGAGGACGGCAGAAGATAGGACAAGGTGGAGATGTGTTGTTGAAGCCCTATGTTCCACTCGGAAAGCAAGGGAATAATAATAATAACAATACAAAGTGATATTCGAATCATGGAGTTCTCACAAAAAGTAAAACATCGTTGAAAGGTGGCATAGAGCACAAAAAAGAAGAGTATCAGAATGAAGTTTCTTGTGCTTTTTGTCAATTTATCTATTTATTTATTATTATTATTATTTTGTTGCTTTGCATTCTGAGTGAGACACAGGATTTCAAGCTTGATCTTTAAGGTTTCAGCGGCAGTGGTGATTTTGTACAAGGTTGATTGGATATGCGTCATAAGAAATCACTTACACCGACTGATAGAGATTCTGGCTAGCCAGATCGAAGTTATCTTAACCTATAGGTCAGTAGTGGATGAATGAAATCCGTTCACTTATTTATTTATTTATTCATTCATTCAATGGTTTGTTATCTAACTAAAAAATCAATCAATTTCCCGCTAAATAACAGTTGAAAATATTAATCTACTCCCCAATAGTGACTACAGGATGAAGTATCCTGGAGTTTTGGTGAGAAATCATACCCAGTGGATTCCACATGCAATGCTTTACACATCATTACCTGGTGGTTTTGGTCTCCAGATGGGTCAGGAGTGTGTACAAATGAAGGATACCAACTTTGGATGTAACAACACAACAGCTGTCCAGCTGCTATCCATCGACATACTCAACGCTTCTCTAACAGAGGTCAATTCGTGATCCAACTTGAAATCACCAACTGCAGACAAAAACAAAAATAAACACACACACACAAGCACACACAAAAAAACTCCCTGATGACATTCAATAGTCGCAGCGCTAAATATCACAAACTGGTCATTGGGTTCTATTCCTATGGCTGAATGATTTAACTATCTTGCCTTGCTGCCTGATGGTCCTGAGTTCAATTTACAGTAAGACCATTGATGTGTGTTGATAAAGAGTACAAAACTAAGATTAAATAGTTCTCCAGTACCTCTCTTAAAATGATTCTCCATCTGATATCGTGGTAAGTGCTACTGATAAGATTTATCAGTAGTATACGGGTAACGAGATGTCCATGGGCATAAAAATATCAAATAGCAGGGAGATAGATTTGATGTCAGAAAAAGCAAATGGTACAGCATTGTGGAGATACATGGGAGACGTGAAACAAACACAAAGAAATACAACATTAAGTTCAGAAATAGAACAGAACAGGAAGATCTGTGCAGATGGTGTGTTAAAGATATGGTGTACATAATTTGGCTATATAGAGATATTTTCAATGGGTGGTTTGTAAGGATTAGATTTGTTCTTACGAGTTGATTACGGATTGATATCAGTTAGAGAACCAGCTGGGAGAACTGGACAACCGGCTGATCCATCCTAGTTTGGGAATGAACCCAAGAACTTCCAGTTGCACGCCAAGCTCGTATACCATTCAGCCACTGGGACTTACTTACTTTACTTCGGCTATCTCCTGTGGGAAGATGAGCCATCTTCATGAACATCTCGAATCATCGCTGCTCAGGCGCGGTGATCTGATGCAAGGTTTTGCGACAGGGTTGGGTAAGCACAGGGCGCGTCGCTTACCAAGAACGCCGTAGCATGGTGAGAGTCGTTTGTAAGAGAGTTCATGAAGTTTCATGGGAATTTGGTACGAGTGATGTCCCCAGAATCGCTCGGCCTTTTGTTTGGGAGTGCAGCTCTAGCCTTTACACAACCAAGTGTGACCTACAAGGCAGTAGGAGTGGAGTAGGGAGTCCACTATCCATTGGAAGCCGGTGACCGGAGTTCGGTTCATACGCCTTTTTGAATGGGGCCAGACATCCAGGACATCCAACAAGCCCTTTGTCCATACGTCTGCCGGTGAGCTCCAGTGAGCTTCATACGCCAGTCGTTGGAGGTTTGGAATCAAGGTTTAACTATCTCCCCTAGACTGTTATCCAATGGACAGTCAACCCGATGAAGAGCGCCGGGCATCCGCTTTCGCCCTCTCACTTTGGTGAAAAACACCTCCGCCAGGTGAAGGCAGTGAGTAGGACTTCCTCAGGAGAGGCTATGTAAGACGCCCGGTCATATGGGAGCATTTCAAGAGGTGTGCGGAGGGGTGGCGAACCCGCAGCGCAAGGCACCCACCCCCGACCATCCTGAGGCTTTGGAGCCACTGGGACCCGTATCAAATGGCTCATGAATTCTAACTTCTACCAATTCGTGATCCCAATTTCCAAATAAACATTCTTTTACGAAGTCTTTCGTCTTCTGACGTTTCAAAATATCAGTGTCTGATGTCAATTTAGACTACATGAATTGACTTCAGTTAGAGAAGTATTATAAACCAACAAGATATACTGGATATCTCTGTTTCGTCCTCTGCGTTTGGGACTCTTCATCAGTATACTCGCACATGACCGCCATCCGTAGCGAAGGGGTCGAACCCAGGAAGCTTACGATTACAATCAATGAAATGCATGCAATGGAACACTTGAAAAGCAACAAAAAACAACACCAAATACACATAGCATACAATAGAATAGAATACTAACCTGTAATTTATTAAATTCATTTTTTAATTTCAGCGATAGCTCATTTAAACCATTGATTTGAGATTCTAATGCATGATCAACACGTCCCAATCCATCGACATCAACTTGTAAATATAATGAAATATCTAACAGTTGTTCTTTAACTTCTTTTATCGCTTTATTAGCATTATTTAAAGACTCGACTGATTTTGACTGTGATGATTTTGATGATGAGGATGATGCTGACAAACGAAGCGCTAAATTCTTCATTTCTTCATTGACTTTGTCTAACTGAACTATATTATTCTTGATTTCTTGAGCAAAAAATACTGAACGACGACGGAGAATTTCATGAGCTTTACCATGTCTTACACCTTAAGGAAGTAATGATAATAATAATAATCATTTACATTTATTAATAATCGTCATTACAATTAATTAATTAATATGCTGACTCCATTATTGCAAAAAGCCTGGAAGGAGGGAAAGCTGCCTACTGACTGGAGGATACGTTACTTCGTGAAACTACCAAAGAAGGGCGACTTAGGACTCTACAAGAACTGTCGAGGAATCACGCTCCTGTCGACGCCAAGTAAAATCCTGAGTCGCATCATCCTGGAGAGAATAAAGGACGCACTGGATACAGTACTCCGACAACTAGAACAAGCTGGATTCAGGAAAGGCAAATGATGTTCTGACCAAATTGCAACTCTACGCATCATCATCCCAGAACAAAGCATGGAACGCCAATCAAATCTCTACCTCAACCTCCTTTATAGACTTTGAGAAGGCCTTCGACAGCGTTGACCGCGAAGTAATTTGGAAACTACTCGACTACTACTACTACTACGGCGTACCCCAAATATTCATCAACCTTATTCAACAGCTGTACGACAACACCACATGTCAACTGATCCACAACGGAAAACTCAGCGAGGCGTTCGGAGTAAACACAAGAGTCAGATAAGGGTGCTTATTATCACCAATGATGTTAATAACTGTGGTGGACTGGATTATGCATCAGACAGTGGGAAACGAGAAGACAGGGATATCCTGGACCGACGTGAAGAATCTCGAAGACCTGGATTTCGCGCGTGGATGATTTATGTTTGATGTCACACAAAATCGAACACTTACAAGCGAAAACCGACAAACTGGTCGAAGAAGCAGCCGGTGAAGACAGGACTCCAGGTGAACATAGACAAGACGGAGGTTATGAAAATAACCGACCAACAACAGCAACATCCAGTGCCAATCACCATCAACAAGAGGGATTTGAAAGAGGTTACTTCATTCACTTATCTAAGGAGGGAGCATTGTCTCAACTACAGGAGGAACAGACGGATGAGGATGTCAAATCGAGAATCACAAAGGCGAGAAACACATTCATCAACCTGAAACCAATCTGGAAATCTTCGTCACTCAGCCTGCATCAACAACAAAATTAGGATTTTCAATACAAACGTCAAGTCAGTCAGTTCTTCTATACGGATCAGAAACTTGGCGGGTCACACAAAGAATATTTCCAACAGCCTGTTGCAGACCTTTATCAACAGTTGTCTTCGCTCTATACTGAAGATGAGATGTCCGGAAAGAATCACCAACAAGAAACTATGGGAACAAACAGAACAAGAACCAATCGCTCAACAAATATGCAGGAGAAAGTGAAGATGGATTGGACACTCGCTGGCTGAGGAGGCCGCTGGGTGACATCGCGCGTCAGGCCATCACTCGAGTGGAACCCGAAAGGGAAGCGGCGAGTGGGATGTCCAAGGGTGACATGGAGGAGATCATGTGATGGGGAATTGAAACAATATTAGTTAAAATGGATGCAGGTGAAAAGTACAGCAGAAGACAGAAACAAGTGGAGGCGTGCTGTTGAAGCCCTATGTTCCACTAGGAACCCAAGGGAACAATAATAATAATGTCAGCTCGTTACTAACATCATAGCTAAGTAATGATTTGTAGGGATTTGAGTGATTTAGTTACAGGATTTCATCATGAGCTGATATCGGTTTGAGAACCATTGGAAAACCAACTGGGAGTACTGGACAGCTGTTTCGTCAGCCCAGCTCAGGACTCTTCAGTACGCACTCACTAGCGTTAGAACCCAGAGCTTTCTGCCTACAAGGCGACAGACACCTTAACTCATGTGAGAAATGGTCTTAATCCATATTGTCTGACTCTCGATACCCTCTTTATTCACAACTATCCCATTACACGTTATCTAGTAGGACTAAAAGTCAGTAATAAAAAATAATATCCTCGCACTGACAAGTATAAAAACTCAACGATACACTATTTGGCCAGCGTCTTGTCTATGCGACAAAGAGGTTGCTAAACGTGGAACTTACGACTTCCTGTGTAATTAGCTTAAAACATGGTTCACTTATTCTCCTATATATGTAATTTTATATTGACACTATCCGCATTATCCTATAATTTTGTGTTATTAATACTAACATTATTATTACTATTATTATTATTATGACACTCACAAAGATGTACATACTTTCATTGGACACTGCATAGTAACCAATGCCATGCGTCCAGCATAGTAGGTACAATGCAAACCTGACCAATAGAATTAAATCTACACGAAGAACTACATGCATGACACTAGTATCCATTACAATATGACAGGACGTAAATCACGAACCCGAATATCTCAATGGTGAAACGTCTCTGATTGCACTACTGGATGACCCAGGTTCAAATCTCACAAAAGACATGAGTTCTATTCAAGATTGAAGATACATCTACCTGACTGACAATGGGTGCCGAAAAACATGAAACCTAGATCCTCCAGTGAGGACTAGAGTCGAAACAGTAACCCTTCGGTTAAAAACGAGTGTTTAAGCGCCAATGAGTCACACCCACACAATCACAGTCATCAGGTCTTCAGGATAAACCCTAACCCTAACCATGTTAAATTTCTTAAGACTAAGGATGTCGCATTGAAATTAGCGTTGGAGGTGTTCTCCAAAACGGCCAAAATATAAACAAAGAAGAAACACAGATGAGTATGTCAACGGCACAATCAGAAAAGTAAGACACACACCTTCATTAATCTGAAATCAATCTGTGAAATCTGTTGCATTCAACACATAAACAACAAGATTAGAATTTCCAACACAATAATGTCATGTCAGTTCTAATTTGGTTCACAGACTTGATGCATCAACCCATAGCACTTTCAAAAAGCCACTGTAGACTTCCATCAACAACTGTCTTCACACCAACCATACTGGAAATTAGTTGGCCGGAAAGGATAAATTTACAAGGAATTCTGGTAACAAACAGATCGAAAATCTATCGCCCAACAAATATGAAACAAACAAAAAATGGCAATGGGTTGGACACACGCTGAGAAGACTGTTGAGTGACATCAAGCGCCAGACCCTCGAATGAAACTAGAATGGAAAGAGAGCAACAACTTTGGCATCTGAGAGTGACGCCGGAGGAGGAGATGGTGTGATGAGTGGTAGGTGAAACCTTACGGGTAATCGTGAGGTCAGCTAAAAAATACTGCAAACCCATGGGAATAATAGCAATAACAATAAGAAAGATAATTAATTATAAAGAGCTAAAAAGTATACAATAGTGTTAGATGGTTGGAGGAAATCGGACACAGGAAGCCTTGCCAGGACCTAGGTTTCGTGCTAGTTGATACTCATTAGTCAGCGAGACGTATCCGAAACCTTGAAGGAACTCATATCTCCTCTGAGGATCGAACCAGCGTCACCCAGTGCTGCCTGTAGTCAGAGACGTTACCACTGAGCTATTCGGGTGCACAGGAAGCCTTGCTTGACCTAGGTTTCGTATACAGTAGTGAAATAATAATCCTAAATACACACACACACATTCACAGATACACCGTTTCTCTGAATTGGTAAACTGTGTGTGAGTGAGTGTATGATGACTGGTGGTGATACCTAGTAACTAACGTCTTGTGGATGAGCCCAAACCTTGGTAGACGAAACAGCACTTGAAACCATGAACCGCCGCCCCAGTAGTAGTTGACAGTTGACTAGCGCCTAGACTACTAGCAAAACAAGGCTCCAAATAGGCTTACACATCAACCTACTGCTTCCTTTGTGCCTGCTGAATCAATGCAAAATTGAATACATGTTAGACTGGTAGTCCTTTATGGATATGGATACTGAAACAAAGATTTAAATGAAGAGTCGTAGACACTTGTATATATAATATGTATGTTATAGGTCAATATTTTCACAAGAAATAAAAGAGCCATTGAGTTGAAATACTAATCACTAATTAATACAATACCAATTAGTTAATTAGATAAGAACTAATAAGAACGGATACCTTAGTGAAATAGACAGACAGACATTACTAAATATATATAGGAGTGTGTTTTTATACAATTCGATACATATGGTAATATATGATGATAATAGTAGTAGAAAGAGAAGAATGTTACACAACCACTAGGTTATTGATTAAGAACATTATCACTACCATCATACTGTGTATCCTTTAACATTAGCAGTATTACTAATTATGTCTGATAGATCTTTTATATGAAATAATAGCGTATCGGGTTCGACTCCTGGCGCGAGAGTGCTTTTGTGCGTTGATGTGCCACGCACAGCAGTAGAATTCTCGACAACCACGCCGCATGTGGTTCGTAGTTCGGTCCCTGGCCGACGACGCCGCACTCATTCACCTCACTAGGCCAGTAATAAGACTGGTAAAAAGAGGGAAGGTTGGGGGCAGGGCATGAGGCTAGCAACCGCATCCTGTAAAAATAAACACCACTGCTAACGAAACTTCAAGCCTCCAGCTTGAGCCCCCCCCCTATGTTCCACTAGGAACGTAAAGCATTAAAAACTAATTAATTAATTAAAATTAATCTGTGCGTGGAACCCTTATTGTCAGAAGTCTATCATCAAAATACGAGACTGCCTCCTAAAATTAAACTCTGATTTATTGTTTATTTGATGATGATGATGTTGGAGAGACTATATTATAACTGAAGTAGTCTTATATTGCAACAGACTGTGGCTGATCGGTCGGTTTTCGAAATAGAACTTTGCACATATGTGCGGAAGTTCAAGTCGCCACACTCCCTCCATGTAGCACACAAAGCAAGAGAAGAAAGTAGGAGAAATGCATATTAGAGACAGTAAACAGAGGTGTGAGACAAAGGAATAGTAATAACGAAGAACAAAACAGTTTCATTGGAAATCATAAGTCACAAGGAGTGGATGCATCTGCCAGCCATTGAGAACGAGGATTTTGAACCATATCACCAATTGTTTCCAACCATTGGTTTTTACTGTCCCGAGGACCCCATCCAGGAAGTCTACATCTTCCTACGTGGCTAGCTTAAACTAACTGTTGTAGATTT